TGTTGAGGACCTGCTCTGTGCGTGTGTGTGTGTGTGTGTGTGTACACTCACATACCCCTAACATACATACATACATGTATGTGTATACATATTTAATTCTAACAACAATCCTAAAGTTAAACACTAAAATTCCAGGTTGCTGTCTTTTTTTAAAATGTATTGTTGCATAGGGTAAATTAGATTTTATTATACTCCAGAAAATGAGCATATAATTGTTATTAGTCAAATTTTAAAAACTCCCTCTGATTTGGACTATAGAGCAAAATAAGTATCAGCATTGCCAAGTCATTAAAAAAAATAATTTTAGTGCTCTTTCAGAATGCAGAGGACAGGGAATGAAGCAAGAGAAGGCTATCTTTTTGGTGGCTGCCTTCTTCCTCACCCCTCAAACTGGCTGTCCTGCCCGCGGTGTCCTGCCAGGAAGTGAGATTATTGAAGATGCTTTCACAGCAGCACTGGGCCAGGAATGGTGGCTGTTCAGAGAATCTGTTCCTTGCTTCACACAGCTGAGCTCCTGGATGAGTCTTTCTTTATCACAGCTATCTGCTCCGTGGGGCAGGAAACTCAGTACACAAAAAAGCAGGACTGGCACCTGGGGAATTGTTGTTTCAGTTGGGTTGGTATTCCCTGAAAATTTCCTGAAAATTATTTCAGGAAATAAATTAAAGGTAACTGAAGGGCCTCCCCGGTGGCGCAGCGGTTGAGCGCTGGGTTGTGAAGATGCCCGCAGCCTCTGCAGTGCAGGTTCGATCCCCGGCTGCTCCCCGGCCACCAGAGGAGGGTCCCACATGGCGCGCAGACCTCTCCTGCCGCCCGCTGCTGCTCCCCCAGCAGTGTACTTCGGTCCTTCTGCCTGCTCTGCTCCCTGCTCTGGTGAATTCTCTCACCCTCCCACGCTTCTGACTGTACCCAGTGCTTGTATGTATAAATAAATAAATAAAACTTTAAATAAATAAATAAATAAATAAATAAATAAATAAATAAATAAATAAATAAAGGTAACTGAACACCATAAGCACCAACATGCGGCTCTCCCCCTGCTAATGGCTGCAAAATACGAGCGTATACTGCCTCCTAAACCAGGCACTGAAAGACTGGGTCCATGCAATTTGCAAAAAAAGTGAACCTTATGGGATTTGAGTGAAAACCCCTGATCTTAAAAGTGCTTATCATTTTTACACAAAATTAAGCACAATACTTAAGCCTCAGAAAACCAAATACTTAGTTCAGGAAAGGTTTAAACCATCTACTTACAAAAGGCAGTAGGTACCCTGTTTCTAGGCAATTTCTTGGGTGATGAATAATACATGTAGAGAGAGAAGGAAAAAGCTGGCTAATCCTCCAAATTATCACTAGTTTCATCTCACCCAATCAGACATGAAGATTATTGTATGTTGTGTTTTCTTTTCAAATAAGAATGTTTAACAGAGAAAATGATCTTTTGGGGCAGATTATTAATAAATACTGCAGATCAAAGATGTCTGGTAGAATTTTGACTAGAATGTATAAAGTGGCAAAAAATACTAATGAATATTGAGGCAAATTGTGTATTTAAATACTTAGTGAAAAAGTTATATGAATATTTCATGATGATAAAGCATTTTCAACTTTGTTTTCCTGCTTACAAAATTAACATTTACTAACAGAAAATTTAGAAGGCATGAAGAGCAGACAAACAGAAAAGGAAAATAAGACTCATTCTCAATAATCCCACCTTCCTGTGTTAACAACCACTGTTGATATGTTGGCAAATTTCTCACCAGCCTCTTATCTGTCCATGGTCTTTTCTTAAGCATTGTTCAAATTATATCTGTATATAATTTTGCATTTACTCTTTGTATTCTATATTCTACTGGGGACATTTCCTCAAACCAATGGCAACTCCTTTTGTTATTTTTAATGACTGCCTAATCTTTGACAGTACATATATGTTACATAGCATCATGTATTTAAATATTGCTGTATATAATGAATATTAAAGTTTTCTCTTTTTAAATTGTAAACAATTCTTAGGTTAATGAATGTATGCAATAAATCTATTTTCTTTTCTTTTTTTTCTCTGTACTATTATTTCTTTTCTTTTTACACTTTTCGAGGTTCGTTTTTTCTTTTTTTTTCCCCCTGTGTACTATTATTAATTTCTATTTTATTATTTATTTTATTTTTTAATTATTTTTATTTTAACATTTTATCATTTTTTACTTTTTTAGACAATATTTGCTTCCCACCACCCCCTCAAATTGAGTCCCCATAGAATCTCCTTCTCCAAGGCCCCATGCACCATCACCACAGTCCCGTGTTCCTCCCTCCCTCTCATGCTTCTCCCTCCTCTTCCCCTGCAGTGTATCTCTGGTTTATAATTGTCTGTTTTTGCTTTGTTGTGTTTTGTACTGTTATTATTTTTTTTTACACTGATGTCTTATTTCCAACTATTTTCTTGAGCTATATTTCCAGGAAAAAGAATTAGCAGGCTCAAGTGGTTAAACGTTTTCAGGACATTTGATTAATATTGCTAGATCCCGAATAACTCCACAGACATGCACTTTTATTGGAGGTGAGATATGTGAGAGACCACCTCGATAAATGCTCCAGAGGAAGATTACCAAATTTGTAAATTTTGTTCACCTTATTTTTTAGATTATCTTTACATCACACATAGTGAATGCTATCAAACTTATGTTTGGAGTTGATAAAAGTCATAAAAGTAGACATTATTTTATATCAGTAAATATTTTTGAAAATGAAAATAACAAGGAGCAGGACTAGCAGACTTGAAGTGTTTTCCTTGGCTGCATTCATGGAGGGCTGCTGTTGATGGCAGCCATTTTGTCCTATTATCTGACCCTGATCTCATCCATAATTTAACTTGGGTGTAGAAATCAATTTTTTAAGGAAAAGTTTTATGCATCGTTCGAGTAAAATATTTGCAAAAGTAAGAATAATTGCAAGAAGGAAGGGAAATCACAAAGATAGCGGTGCCTATGGGGTACATATTTTTCTTTTATATATTTTGAGTTTTTTATTATATTTTGTATTCTGTAATAATGCAGATTTTAGTATAAAATCTCTTTTCTCAAACTATTGATTTTTTTCATAATCATTATTCTAGTGGATGAATAATATACAACTGTCATATATTTACATAACCTATCATGGAACACTTGGGTTGTTTCCAAATATTATAATATTTAAAATAATATGTATATTATAGTTAGGGCTATATCTCAATGCTTAAAAATATTTCCCTACTTTGTTTATTTCCTCAGTATAGATTTCCAGATGCAGGGATACTAGGTCAAAAGATGCGAAGTTTTAAGGCTCAAGGTATTTTCAAGCAAGTTGAATTTGTTTGCAATCAAAGGCCTGTGTCCTTTTGGATGGAGAGAGCAGCCAGGGTCTGTATGAAAACAAGTAAGCTGGTGCAAACATGGGTTATGCCCAAACAAGGTTTGGGCATCATATGGATCCTCAACTGTCTTTATATATTTGAAGTCAGACTGTGAAGCTAAGGGACAAATTCAGGTCACAAGTTGGGGACAAAAATCAGAGTAAATGCTCTGTTGTGAGAGCAAATTCATTGCCACATTCGCAGCTATGAAGCAGAAGAGGAAACCCTGATTATAGCCCCACATTTGATGCAATATGCCAAATGAGCAAAATAATGAGCTATGCATGAACATAAGAAAACGCACTTTAAATGGAAACTACATCATACATATATAGACAAAGATTTTAAAATACAGACACACACACATACACACATATATACATATATATCAAATATTTAGAGATGGCATTATTCATTGCATATAGGAAAAGAATACAAAAGTGGGTAAGTGGCATGAATGGGCAATTTATAAACTATTAAAATGAGCAATAAACAATATATCATAGTTAACCTTACTAGAAATCAACAAAATGTAAAGTAAGTGAACCGTTATTATTTTTCATTTGTCAAATTGGCAAATATTTTAAAAAATGCCTTCATATGCTATTGAAAGTGTAAACAGGTGCAAGTTTTTTAGATGGGAATAAGGCTATGTGTAACAGATTCTTTTTTTTAACTTCAACCCAATACTCCACTTCTTATAATTTACATTAGGGAAATAAACAAAGATTTGCGAAAATAAAAAACATTATAGTTAAATGTTTCTCATGGTATTATTTTCAAAAATGACTAAGTAGAAAGCAACTAAATGCCCCATTGGGTAACAATGATGGAATTATTAGAAATTGCAGTATATTAAATGAATTATGAATGTCATAGGAAAATTTCTATAATAAACTAAAAAAAATTTTACTAAAGTACTCTATATGTAATTTTCTATCTATCTACCCTAAAACATTAACAGTAATTTTCTGTTAGGGAAATTATCTGGTAGTGTAAAACATCCTAAATATTTTCCTTATAATTAAAATAATGTGATTTATTGAGAAAGTGACAGAGGGATATAAAATTTTCATTATAATTTCCCCCTTTCAATCACAAAGCATGGCATATCTTTTGGTACTTATCTATGCTTATTAGATATTTATTCAAAGACTATCAATGTTCAGTGCCTCCCTGGCAGTGCAAGAGGTTAAGCACAGCACTGTGAAGCTATCTGCAGCCTCTGCAACATGAATTAGATTCCCGGCCAGGGAGGTGACCCACAAGGCTCAGCAGACCTCTCCTGTCTCGCCCGCTGCGCCCCTCAGTATTGTATTTCAGTAGATCTGCCTGTTCTGCTCCCCACTCTGTCTCTGGTGAATCTTCTACCCCCCACCCTGCACCTCTGGCCTGTACCCCAGTTCTTGTATGCATAAATAAATAAATCTTTAAAAAAACAGAAAAAAGAATATTAATGTTCAGTGATAAAACTTCAGCAATCTCTATTATTTTCATCTCATGGTGGTATGAATAGGAGAAAGAGGGACAAATCAAGCTGATTGATGTTGAGAAAATCTTTCCAGTTATTGAATATTATAATCGTCAACCATTCCTCCCATTTCATACTCACCTATATCCTAGCCCCCCAAGAACGAGCACCCAGAAGAGGTAAGAGATCACAAGCAGCTGTTTCATTCTTCTGCAGAGAGAGCAGGAAATCTTGAGTTTCCCTCACAGGCCAGCAGACCAAATGTCTCTTGTCAATCCATCAAGGCGTTGGTTTTGACAATCAAGATAAATCAGTTAGTGAACAACTCAGCTGAAGCACATGCAAGCAGTTCCTTCATTAACCCTATCATTTCCTCAAACAGCTTTTTTTAATAGTGAAAAATACTACCATTTTTCTTTTCTGCTCTAAAACCAAATTTACATGAACTTTTGTTCCAGAAAGAAGTTTCTTCTCTAAGCAAGGCCCCCTATTACCTGTACTCACAGGCTGACCAGCTGCTCCCTCACACTGTTTCCATCATGCAGGTCTGATAGACATAATAAATGATATATTTGAAATGCTTATTAGATACCCAGGGATTGTCAAGTGGGCAGTGGCTATGGCAGGCTGGCGCTCTAGAGGACTCTGGAGTAAGGTGCAAACATCTGTAACCATTCAGCGTAGGAGACAGTGTTTGAAGCACATGAAGCAGCTCATGTAGGGTGGGAGTAGAGACCAGGAAAAAAAGAACAAAGGCTGGATTTTGGGTCAGTCTAACATTTAGAGGTCTTCTTGACTGAAGAGAAGAATCCAGGGACCTCCCTGGTGGCACAAGGGGTTAGTCTAAGCACTATGAATCTATTGGCAGGCATTGCAGCATGAGTTTGATCCCTGGCCAGGGAGCTACCCCACATGGCACAGCAGACCTCTCCTGTCTCGCCCGCTGCCCCCCTCAGCAGTGTATTTCAGTCAATCTGCCTGTTCTGTTCCCCGCTCTGTCTCTGGTGAATCCTCTCAGGCTCCACACCTCTGGCCTACATCCCAGCTCTTGTATGCATAAATAAATAAAATAACTCTTTTTTTTTTTAAGAAAAAAAAAAGAATCCAGCCATGAAAAATGTGAAAGGAAGAAAATGGGTCAGGTGTTCAGAAGTTGAGTCAGAGGAACACTGAGAACTCACAATCATACCCTGCAGGTGGGATCGGAGCTCCTGGAGATCTTGAAAAGAGCAATTTCAGTCAGCATGTGGTAGGGACAAAGGCTGACAGGAATTAGTGAAAGAAGGAAGGGAAGTGAGAGAGGAGGCAGTGAATAAAGAAGGTGCCATCAGCTCAGGTCACCCAGGCTCTTCACAGAGCACTTCATTGTTTCCATCTTCCTCATTGCCTTAGGATGATGTCAACTGGAAATCTTAAATTTAAATTTTCATGATGTTGAGGACAAAGGGTAAAGAATAATACCCACAGTGCTCTTTCCCTCTCCTGAATGCAGGTAGGGCATCACCTCTGTGGTCCTAACTGAAGCAAAGGTCTTAATGGAGCTGTGAGTTTCACAGAAAAAAGGGTGTTTTCTCCCCCATCCTCCTCCTAATTGGTGTGGGACCAAGAAGGACTCAGAGCAGAGGGATACATGGGTAATCTAAATAAAAAGCAAGACAAGAATAGACTCTCCCCCCAATAAATATATAATTCCATGCTGTTATTCTGAAGCAAAAGAGCATAAATAAAGATAAATATGTGGAAGTACATTCAAATATAACATACACGGTTAGTAAAAACCTGCAAATAATTTTTAAAAATATATTGTGAGGCTATTTGGCCTTACTACATAAGGTTTTCCTAACGCTCACTGACAATTGGATTTTGCTCACTTTGCTCAGTCCCCATGTCCAATTTCACTGTAACATATGGTCTCCTGCCAATCTACTGGCCAAAGATTATCTTTGTCTTTCTACAGCCCTGTGGAATACAAGCCGTAACCTAGAGCACTTAGAGCCAATGAACTGGAACCATGGACTCTTTGCTAACAAGGGTAAATTATTATCATATCCTTCCTGGTGATTGGATTATTCCTTATCATTGTTTTATAGCTTTCTAGTTAATCATCTCAACACAATTTATTCACAATAAAAGAGTGTTTTATTATTGCTATTTTATAGTTCTTATAGCAGTAAAATTTATTCTCAATTCTATTATTACAATATTCAACTACTAATGGAATTCTTGTTTTCATTTGATTGTGTTTTAAAGCCATAACAATAAAATTTACTCCCAAAAATATTACTGCAAGTTTTATGTTCTTTAAACTACTTGATGGAATGCCTGCAAATGTATGTGGGTCTATGAGATACTAGAGAGAAGGCTTGCTAAAATATGGTTCTAGGGGGAAAAATAGGAATTGGTGAGACCCATGTTCTTTGAGAGAAGAAGCAATAGGATGAAAGAAAGGATTTAGAGGAAGATTAAGTTCTAATTGATAGAAATATTTGTTTAAAAAATCAACCTCTATTCCCTGCCAACCCCTAGTCATTTCCACTATCTCCAACCATGTGCTTTTGAAATGATGCTAATGATTTCTCATGGATGGTTGCTATATAATTTGGGGAGAGGCTATGAAATAGTATAAGCAAAGGTCGGGGTTATCTTGAGGGTAAATGGTTTCAGCGACTTAAGAATGGGAAGGTATATGAGCCAAGTCAGCTCACCATCTCTGCTCCTCCCCAGCTGTTCTCATTGACCCCAAAGCTAAGGATAGTGCAATGAACCTCATTACTTGCCATGTCCTTTTTAGGCCTGGAACACTGTCATTGGGCCAGAACATGAATTATAATCTATCCAGTGGAGCAAAGTACCAGTAAGACTTAAGAAAGAGGTATGTCAGACAGGCAGAAACTAGCTGTGGCAAAGGGCTTGACAGGTTGATTTATGGTCATAAACAGTGATAGATGCAGAATGGGTAGAGACACAGGTTGGTTGTCACTCAGAGACTATGTTAGCAGAAGAAACAACAATATGTAGACATGGTATCGAGGCAATACCAAAGATAGGTTCTGACGGAAGCTTCAGAGATAACTGCTATCAACCAAGGCAATAAATGAGTGGATGTGTGGATGGATGATGGATGGACACATGGGCGCATGGGTGCATGGCCCCATGGGTGGATGCATGAATCTGTATCCATGTTCTTGTCACATGGCGTAAATTCACTGGCTAGGATCTACCCTCTCACCTATACAACTAAGCACTTAGTTTTCCATGACCATCTGCTTTCCTTTGCCCAGAGTGGCAACTGTCAGAGTGTCCCCAATAAGATCTACTTTCAAAAGAGAAATTGTTGCCAATCTCTGACTATAGGTGCCTTTAGGCTCTGACTCAATATTTAGGCTAAAATTAAGTGCTACCTGGACATCCCCTGCCCAAGAATGGAGCACAGAAGTGATACAAAAGTCCTTGTACCTTTTCAAGTTCCCTCAACAAGCACGCTTCGTGGAACTGCACTGCACTCTATTTCATCCTCCGTTCTTCCCCTGCTCTCATAGGAGTCAGCCCAGCATCATGGTCTAAAGGCTCTCCTCTACTTCTGCTTCCTTTTATTTTTCACAAATATTACCCTTTTAAATCTCTTCCACATCTCACCCCATCTAAGCAACTGTTTCTCAGATGATCCCGCCAACATACCAAATGGATTCCAAAACAAGTGAAAATAGTGAATAAGACTGGACTTCAGCCATAGGGATCTTTCTGGACTTCATGGGTAATTAGGTGCAGACACAAAGACGAATAGGGGTAATATTTCACGGCCAGGACTTAACAAGCTTCCAAAACACAGCCAGCAAAGTACAGAAAATCACATGCTAGCTAAGTAACATACCATTCTCATTAGTTTTTTTTTTAATGTTTTCTCTCTCACAGTTGCTTGCCTTGTGTAATATATCCACAGTACTATGAGGAGGGTCCTCAATCTTTTTACTGTCCCTTGTGCTAACGTATCGTCTGTGTTGATCATCAGGGGAAGAGAAAGGAATAGGGAATAAAAATATTCCCTGCAAGTGTGGGGAGTGCTTTTGAGGGGATGTGTGTGTGTGGAGGAGGTTGCTAAGAGGGTGGAGGGAGAGATCAAAGAGACTGAAGTGGTCCCCAGGGGAGCTCATATTTCTTCCATAAACCCCAGCAATCAACCTGAGGGTGTATGGGCATAGGACCAAAGAGTGATAGGAGCAATTAGCTTGGGAACTAGCACTTTTGGCACTTTTTCTTCCTTTTTCCCAGTTGGATAGTATCTCATTCTACATGAGCCACCACTGGTTTTCAGAAAGAACACTTCTGATTCATTATCCCAGATCATCACCCCAGAAAACTTAATAGATTTGCATCATTTTGAGGTTCTGCTTCCTTCAACCTTTTAGGTATTTAAAGGGAGACAAAAGATAGGGAAGCAACCTAAGTGCCTGTCAACAGATGAATGAGTAAAGAAGGGATGGTATATATATATACTATGGAGTATTATTCAGTCATGAGAAAGAAGGAAATACTGCTATTCATGATAACATGGGTGGACCTTGAGGGTGTTAAGCTAAGGAAAGAAGTCAGACAGAGAAAGATAAGCACTGTATGATATCACTTCTATGTAGCTGAACTCATAGAAACAGAGTAGAATGATGGTTACCAGAGAGTAGTGTAGGGGAAGTGGGAGATGTTGATCAAAGGGTACAAACTTCCAGTTAGAAGATGAATAAATTCTTGGGATCTAATGTACTGTGTGGTGATGGTAGTTAATAACACTATTGTATAGTTGAAAGTTAAGAAAGTGGATTTTAAGTAATGTGATGGAGTTATTAGCTAAATTTATACAATGCTATATGTCAATTATATCTTGATAAACCTAGAATATATATATATATATAAGGATAAACAACATAATTAAAACAGGTTTCCTTACCTTCTCTGGATTTTGCCCCACGTAGGTTGCCCTACATCTTTTCATTTCTGTTTAATATATTCAGTGAGATCATTACAGATAATTGAACTCATTGTCAGAACCACCATGTAAAATTAGTTGGGTCAGGCGCAGAGCACTGAGTTAGAAACCAGAAGCCGTGGGTTCTAATTCTGGTTCCCCCATTTATCAGTCAGGTGATTTGTCTTCTTAAACAATTATCCTTGTCTGGCTTTCCACTCGAAGTTGTGGAGCATACAAAATGAAATAATGTATGTGAAAGCCTCTGAAAA